GAATCTTCCCAATTCCCTTAATCTTCTAGATACAGGTAGGTCAAAGTGTGCATGTCAGAACGTTTTTAGAGTTACATTCAAAATCTAATTAAAATTCTTTCTTATCAATGTATGTCAATAAACTTGGCATCAAAACGTGGTTTAAAATTCACTTCTTAATATTATATAACCCTTAATTTCAAAAAGAAATATTTAAATAAATTCTCAATCTTCACTTTCATTTATCACGTGACATTTCTTTGTTCTGAATTGCCCATTTTAGAATTTCTTTCCACCTGCATATTATTTTATACATTTCCAATTGCGTCTATTCTTTTTGCTTTAACGAGTTATATACCATGAACTGAAATTCATATGCCACACCACTCCTAGCATATGCTGTCTTTAAAAAATGTGAATAATTCTCAATGACATTTACTACTGGATAACTTATAACCAACAGAAAGAGAAAATTTTAATTTGCTGTCTTCCTTATGAGGTTAGCTTGTTATCATGATTGGTTCCGAATTATTCTGCATCAATTTCACAGTTTACAATCACCAAGGTTGCCTCAACGAAGTAAGAAAAATATTTTAATGCACATATAACTTAGTTAGAAGACCAGTAAAATTACAAGTTTTAGGACATTGTTTTTATGTTGCGTGTTAATATTTTGTGTTCTAAAAGGTATACCTAGAAAAAACTAAAATTTAAGGTCAAGTGCAAGCAACACTACAAAAAATGAGGCCAAATTTAATCTAGACTTCAAGATATAAAAAATGTATAAATTAGAAACTTATTAAGTTAGATCAGAAAACTTGTATAGAGAAAAACTCAATAGCATGAACATGTTTCTCACATGCAGCATGTTTTCATTTGACTGAGCATGCTGGTAACTCAGTGTTGTGTTTACACAAGGCTTACCTGTTGTGGTAATTCACTTTAGTGCTAATTTAAGTGTGGCAGTAAAGCAATAAATCTAAATGATGGGAGATTTGAATTTTATTAGCTTTGGCTGTAAGAATAGTGTGTAATATATTTGTCTGTAACAATGTTTAGTCGTTCTAGAAAGAAAGAAAGAAGGTAACTTAAACTTATTTTGTATTTTCTCTGTGGTGGTTACAAAGTCAGTGAAAAGGATCGAGCCTGTATATGGTATTAGAGTAGAGAATAAAGCAAATATAAAATACAAAGTTTTACTGAAGAAAAATAACTTTGACATTAATTTAGGAGGTTTTAGAGGTTATGCAATTTAATTTGAAATCTATAAAATAAATAAGTTATTCTTAACTCTTAACATGAAAATAACCTTGCAATCAGATTAGTCAGAGTTTGAGTTCAACTCTGACTCCATAAGTTCAGACAAATCTTTAGTAAAAATACTAAATTAAAAAATTTGATTTTTTGTGTACAAAAGACTTGTAAAGTTTACTAAAAGCTTGACAAATTTTGTAATGATACACTTACAACATTAAATTTATAATATGTGTAGTTTCATGGTTACATAGTGATTGCCAGGTTGATCAAAATGCCCAAGCAGGCATATATAGTGTTAATGCTATATTGAGCACCACACTTTATCAATAACAAGCTAACTCCTAATCAGTTAATCATTCTAAACTTTAAACAGTGATAGGTGATATTAAATATAAACTTTCAGCTTTATTCACTTTGCAGCAATGGCTTTTTTATCATCAAATCAGTTGTCATCTGGTAGGTTTGCCTTACCACTCGTTTCCATTTACTGTAGGCTAACTTGTGAAACTTCACCAATACAATTAATCTTCATTGGATGCTTTTTTTATTATTTCTCTTTTTCTTCATTTATAATTTATTGAATGGTGTTCCTGACTCTTTTCATGCCTCTTCACAAACTTTTCAAATTACTCTATAAGGTCTAATTTTGTACCTTTATTAAAATGGGTATTGCAAGTGAGAAAAAAATGTTACATGATGGGAAACTCAAAATAAGCATTTTAAACACCATTAAGACAACGCCAGAAATATCAGAAAGTAACACAACAGTATAATATTAATGAGGTTTAAAATGAAAAATAAAAGTACTCCTTTTTTTCATAATTAATCTTTCAAGCTTTTTCAAACATTCTTAATCATTACAAACTTACTCTTCAGGTTTGGATGGATTATTGATATTCCACACACATATGATACCTTTTTCATCCAACTCAGGTGTTTCTGTTGCCTTAAAAAAATTAAGTCAATAACTGCAAAAATTATCAAATTCTCAGATCTCATAATATTGGTAAATATTTTAGAAGCCTTTTCACAGCCTTCTACAAAATACTAAATACTACCTAAGTATATACATACAAAAGCCAGTGCAACTTTAATTCATACTGTCATTATAAATAGAAACTGATTTAAAGATAAAAAAATACATTATTCTCAAAATAAAATAGTTTATAAATTTCACATTAAAACCACGATAATGGAACAATACCAAATTTATATGGACACTAGTTTCTTGGTATTTTCATGTGTCCTCTTCAGTGCAACATTTGTAACAAATATTGGACTGAAGATGACATGTGAAAGTTTCGAAACTAGCATCCATATAAAATGAGTATTTTTATACTGTGGATTTAAACTTTATTTTAGATCACTTTACACAGTGAAGTGTATTTACCTACTATTCACATCAAAAGTTAAGTTTTTTTATAATTCACATTTCAACATGTATGTGAATTATCCTTATGATAATAGCAAATATAAACTTCAACTGATTATTCTACATATTTGACTTTATTACAAACCTCATGTGGTGAGCCATGAATGGTAAGAAGGTAGTTGATGTGAGTGGTGGAAAAAGCCAATGAGGTTACAGGACAATCTGAAAACCCAGCAAGAATTATGTTAACAAAATGGAAGGTTGACTAAAAATAATACTTTTTACACTGTCTATGAATAAAAAGCCTGGGAAATAAATGATAGATTATTTGTTAGAGTTGTTTGTTTTGTTTAGCAACATCTTAAAAGACATGCAATTTGCATGTTTTCATTACTTCCTTTAACAATGTTATTACACCTTATATGTGGAAAGATAATAAATAAAATTTGTATATCAAATTTTTCATTAATAATGTTGGCTGCTCAAAACCTACACTAAATAGAAAAATTCTCAAAAATTACCATTCTTGCAAAATGTTTAGAAAATAAGAATATTAACCTTTCTAAGTTTGTTAAAATATGTTTGATCACAGATACAAACCAGAAACACAGGCATATAAATGGGGTAAAGGGCTGAAAGTGGGTAAGAGGAGATAAGTACCTATCAGAAATACATTTTCATTGCAGGAAAATGTTAACCTCTGAAACGGTACCACCTCCTCTCACCCAAACTAGAATCCCACATTGCAAAAGTGGAGGGGCCGGTGAAGGCACAAAACTAATCAAACAAGCAGAGAACAACTGCCATGACAGAACAGGTGTGTGTGCCACATTTATAAAAGGAGGCATACCTGTGGGGTATAGCACTACTTCTGGAACAGGTATGCTCTTCATCCAGTAAGGAACAAACTAGGACACATAGGGTAGAACTTAATAGACAGGCACCATGTCATGTAATACAGATTTCACCCATGGACAACAGATAGTACAAAAGATGTCCACATATGTAACAAGCATAAGCCATGACACAATCATAGTTATATGTGAAGAAGGTGCCTGTAATCAGATATAAGAATACGTGGTAGGGCTAAAGGACCATAAATACATATATGAATAGGCCAAGCGCAGTCCACCCAGACAAAAAACTACAATGGAAGCACCTTGCATAAGATTGGGCAAAAAACATCCAGGGTGAAGTGTCTTGGATTTATATTAAAATAACCAAGTATGGTCAGCCCAGGCAAAACATCTGGAGGAAGCACCTTGGTATATGTCAGATTATGTCAAATGTGGTCCATTCGGGCAAAAGACATCCAGTGGAAGCAACTTGCATAGTACTTTTCATTTTGTATTTTGTACTTAACAGATTGTGTGATAAACAAGTGCAGTCAGCACAGACAAAAACATCTGGGGGAAACACCTTGTGATATTATGGAGTATGTCAAGTGTGGTCCATCTGGCTGGAAAACATTCAGTGGAAGTGCCTTGTATAAGATTGAATGTTTTATATCTTGATAATAATATATTTAGAGATCAACAAGTGCAGACTGCCCAGGCAAAAACAACCAGAAAAAGCCCCTTGTGACATGATGTAGTATGACAATGCAGTCCATCTGGTCAGAAAACATCCAGTGGGAGTGCCTTGCATAAAAAAAGAAAAATTTTAGGAACAACAAGTGAGGTCAGCCTGGGCAAAAACATCCAGGAGAAGCACCTTGTGTTTTATTGAGTATAGCAAATGTGATCCATCCAGGAAAAGTACCTTGTGTTTTTATTGAGTATAGCAAATGTGGTCCATCCAGGCAAAAAAACATCCAGTAGAAACACTTTGCATAAAATTTTTATTTCATGATCAACAAGTGCAGTCTATCAATGCAAAAAACATTAGGGAGAAGTGCCTTGGATTGAGCATACTATGATATTGTATAATATTAAATATAACAACAATAGCCATCTTCTCACAGAGTGGGAACATATAACTATGAAGCTTGTTTTATCGTACAAATCCCACTCCAAAGGAAACCTCCATGGTCAACCATTCCAATGACTTGAACTGGAACTGTGCTCCACTAGAAGAAAAGGGGGAGAAATATGCATTGGGAAGTCCGGAGGAAACACACACTGAAGACAGTGCAACAAGTGCATACAATTCCCTATTCTGAAAAGCAGTAAGACCCTGATTGCAAGAATCACTGGTCAGTAGGGATGGGCAAAAATCCCCATCTGCTTTACTCATAACAATAATAAAAAATACAGATATATATACACACACCCAGATAAGCAGTCTTACAGAAACACCCCATCTAAAAAGTGAGCATTATGGAAGTACACAGGTTTAGTGTACTTCCATCTGACACAAATCTGAATGTTTCCTCTTCAAACTATGCTATCAGAGCTGTAGCTGAGAGATTTTGGAGAAAGGGGAACAAAAGTGGGATGACTGAATGATCTCCTCCAAAAGACAGAAGTTGCAAGCAGCTAAAGACATAGTGAGATGACAAATTTGGTGTGAAGAAACTTGATGTAGATGGTGACTGTCCATGGACACGTCAGAATACGGCAGTCGTATGAGTAGACGAACCCAACCAGTGAGAATAATACGTGAAAGATCGCAGGAAATGGAGGAATTCCATGGAACAGAGAGACAAGAACAAGAACCACTAAAATAGGCAGTATAAGCCATATAACATAGCAGATAACAAACTGGACAAAGTAGATGATCTAAATCCAAATGGGAGAACAGGTGGGAAAAGGAAGGTAAGGAAATAGCCCAAAAACATTCCTAGGCAGCCGATGTCCCATCTGGATAGTGGAGAACAAACAAGGAATGGAAAAGGATGCAGGAAACAGTAATGGCATAAATATCAGAATGATGACAACCACATGCCAGGAGAGGGAGAAAATAGGTCTTAAGGGAAAAATAGTACAAGGACCACATTGCAATGGGTTCAAAAGGAGAACTGGACAGGGCATGAAGGACAATATTGAGATCCCAACGTGCCAAAACAAAGGAATGCGGAGTATGGACCAGGCAAAAGGAATGGAAAAAGACGGAAATAAACAAGGAAGAGAAGGCATTCTGTGAAAAAGGAAGGTGACTGACAGGGCAGCCCTGGAAAGAGCAATAGTTGAAACAGACAAGCCCTGAACAAACAACCAGATGAAGAACTGGGACAGGTGAGGAACAGAAGGACAGGATGGTCAAAAGCCATGGCCAATAGACCAAAGTTTGAAGTAAGGCCAATGCCTCTGGTACATAGACAAGAAGGAAGGAGAAATGGTACAGGCAAGGAAAGACACTACATGAGGGGTGAGTCCCAGAGCAAAGACACAGGATCAGAAAAAAAGGAAGGAAATGCATGTGCACCTGACCTAAGGGAATAAGAGCTTCTGAGGGAGCCCCATAACCCCAGAAGAGATAGAACCTCCCATGCAGAGAGAGGAGGAGAAAGTAGGGACTTTATGACTGCCCACTCCATATCCCGGAGCTGAAATGGAGAAGGCTGATCTTGACCAAGACAGGAAGTGAAGAGAACACCCAAATGAATAAGATAATACAAACGATAGTAAAGGACCTCTCCAACTTGATGAGAAACCCCACCTGAGCATCTTCTTGAAGAAGTAAGTGGGTGTGAGTGACTGACTAGGCACAGGAAGAGGTGAGCAGAAGCCAGTTGTCCATATAATAGTGAGTCTGAAGACCCAGCGAGTGAAAATGACGTGCAAAAGAGCATACCACTCAACAAAACACATACAGAGCTGAAAAAGACCAAATGGCATTGCCCAGAGCTGAAAGACAGAATCCTCGTGAACAAACTGAAGAAAAACGATGTGACACAGAGGCAAAAAAATCCACCAAAGTGAAAGGTAGGACTCCATTGGGAAACGAGGTGTCTCCAAATAAGAAAACAGCCAGGGAACATCTATGATGGGACTCTAATCTCCTGTGTTGTTGGAGTCAACAAACAGATGGGAGTAAAATCCCAGTTAAATGGGCACCACCCATTTGATAGCTCGTTTGTGTAGCAGGTCTCAAACAAATTCAGCAAGATGATTGGATGAGGGAAGGAGATCTGGGAAATGGATAAAGGGAGAGCTAAACGGAAAGCAGAAACCCACAAACAGATCCTGTAGAAACCACAAAACTGTCAGGAACTGTAGTTAAAAAGACACATAACTAAACATACTGAGAGAAAATATTCAATACTAATGATCTAACAAAACATAGAAACATATAAAGTCTACAAAGTACATAAAAATAACAAACATGCAAAACTATGAAATTCGACCTAAAATATAAAACAATAAATAACACCTAAAGTACAAAACCACTAGAGAAATTTAAAAGAGCAACCAACAACCCTTAAATATCAAACACATTAGTCCACCCAAAGAATCTTTTAGACAAAGGACACAAAACTAAAACCTACTCTAAAGAATATGAGAATAAAAAGGTACCCAGTTAACAATAACAAAGTTCAACTCAAACCTAATCCCCAATTAAATGTGACTAGTTGTAAAGAAAAAAGAATTTACAAACTAAATAACATTAACAGTGAAAAGAAGTAAAAATTCAAACAAAAACAAAGGAATAATCAAACTCCAAACACAAGTTTAAACTAAATTAACCTAGATGGTAAAAGAAATATAAAAATCTAACGTACCCAAAACTGAGCAGAGAAGACAAGAATGACCTAAATCATTGAGTGAAGAAATTCAGTCCTTTCACCCAAGCTCGCATAAAGTCACTGAACAAGGGTATACCTACAGGAAGTGAGAAATACTTACTGAAAAACGTAACACAGATCTCCTGTGGAAATGAACAATACCTAACTCGGCAGATTATGTGGAGGCATGTTAACAGGTCGAAAGTGCCATAGAAAGACAATTTCCACACAGTAATTATATTCCTCTTCAAAAAAATCATAACATGAAAGGCAAAAAATTGTTGTCCGAACATATGACACGAACCAGAGCCTGTGCTTCCCCAGCAGACATCGTTGACCCCAAGACCTGGGGACTAGTATTCTACTTATGACAGGAATTTCATCACCCACCATATTAAATCTTAAAATCAAATGAACAAAGTAGGAAACAGAAACATTTCTAAAACAATGAGTAGAAACAATGGAAATCAAACACAAAAAAGTGGAAACTTGAAGTTGAAACTGATATAATTTTGTGATCAAGCACAATCAAAATCCTGTAATCACATGGGGAACGAGTTAAAAAGCACATCTACACATTAGAATGCCAACTGAGAAAGTGAGTATTGTACTGCAATGGTTGTATAGGTGGTGCAGTATGACTTGTAGAGTGTAGTCACATGATCAGCACATGTTGCTGCAATGGTGCAAAAATGAAGGAGTATAAAACACTGGTGCACTGTCAAAAATTTTAGCAATGCTTAGAGGGCAAATCAAGGTTGAGATAGCTTTCGGTGAGAGGTTGTAGTATTGTTTTAGAATTATTGAAATAATGGTTGCCAACTAATACAATATGAATGTTGAAGAGTAATAGCTATGAAAACTAGGTCTAACCTTTGATTTTAGTTTAAAAGTCTGATTTTAAAAACTTACTTATAATTAAAATGTTTTAAAAATAGTGTTATTCATTTTGAAAGTTTGCCTGCAATAAACTAAAGATATTTATTCGTGGTTAAAATGAAGCAGGCAATTTTATTTACAAAAAAATGAAATCATGAGATGAAAGAGATCATATTAAAAAGCAGTAAACCAGTAATTTAATAAATAACAACAAAACACTACTGTTAGAAAGTTTATAGTAATTCATAATACAGTCTTAGTTTTCAGTCGACATATGTTTTCTATTTTAAAAGTTGGAAAACTATAAAATGAAGCATGGTCATGTAAGTAACTAGTACTTACTAGTACATATATATTTAAGTAAATAAAAATTCATACACACAATAAAATTGAAATAAAATGCTATAAACTGATTTTAGTACTGAATGTTGATATTTCACACCTATGCGAAATGGAATGAAGCCCAGTCGTAGGAAACCATGACTCAAACTTGTACTTCCTTCGCTAAAAGTCAACTGCCATTGGTTTTCTTCAGCTAACTCTTCATCAAGCAATGTAAGTATGACCTGCATGTTAAAAAGAAGGTTGATAAAATTTGAAGAAGAACTAAAGAAAATTGCTATGATTTTATAATTGCTGTAAAAAGATTTTACACCTGAACAATTCATATTTTCATTTATTACATTACCAGAACCTATTAACACCTTCACTTCTTCTTTTATTACTTCTGTACCACAAATTCTGAAATAACTTTAATATTTTCTAATGTGGAAAAAACTAGTAAGATAAATTTTGTATTTAGGGTAGGTTGTTATTATTGCTCTTAATATTTATACAATAAATATTCAGAAGTTTGAGGAGTATACAAGAAAACATACTATATATTAAGAGTGTTTAATTAAACATCAGCTTTAAACAAATGCAAAAAAAAGCATACCCAGTAAATGACAGATACACCGATATCTTGAATAACAATAATATAAACAGCTCTTTGACAATCAGTAAAAACACAATTGTTTCTAACATGTATTTGGGGATTGAGATCTTAGGCTCTGCAACTTTTTTAACACCTTAAAAAACTATTAAAACATATCAACAACGTAGAAAATCTATAATAATAAAAGTGTGTGTCTGTTAGTCTTTGTGTGTGTGACTGTCATAGCTCCAGGAGAAAAGAACCTAGAAACCTGAAATTTTGCCCCTATACTAAGTGGACCCTAAAGGTGTGCATCTGGGTATTATTACTTCTCTACATGCATGAGCACATGCGCATCTTTTTATGAGGCAAGCTAGTAAAAACCAATAGAAAAGAAATGTGACCACCATAGCTCCAAGAGAAAAAAACCTAGAAACCTGAAATTTTGCACCCATACCAAGTGGACTCTGGATGTGTGCACCTGGGTATTACTTATCCATGTACATGTACATCTTTTTAATTCAGCAAACTGGCAAAAAATCACATAGAAAAGAACTTGTTCCTTATTTTACAAACAGAAATTACAGACAGACAGATGCATGTGTGTGTGTGACAGCCATAGCTTCAAGAGGAAAGAACCTAGAAACCTGAATTTTGCACCCATACTACGTAGACCCTGAGGGTGTGCACATGAGTATCATTTATCCATGTGCATGCACGCGTCTTTTTATTGAGGCAAGCTAATGAAAAACCATATAGAAAAGAAGTGGTTCCTTATAATAACAACTTCTAATATTTAGAAATGCCAGTGCATTTTAGTAATGATACATTTCAACAATGGCTTTTATGTCATGTTGCTTAGCAAAAAAGTATACAGGATATTATTTTATGTTAAAATGAGTTCAGAATACACACAATATCAACCTAATAATCCAAGTGAAGCCAGGTACTTTCGCTAGTCAAACATATTTTGTGTTTCTGAATGAACCAAACCAATTAAAACTCAAACTGCTGAAGATACCAATGAAAGGGCTCAATTCATTCACATAGTAAAACATAACAATATAGAAAATCAAAAATATTTCTTGAGTTTCTGAAATAAAACTCAAACTGCTGAAGATACCAGTGAAAGGTTCGAATCATTCACATAATAAAATTTAATTATTATTATATTTCTAAAATTTTCTCTGTGTTTCATTGAATAATGTATTCACTTATTCATACCTTAAGCAACAGAAAGATAATGAAACTTAACCAGTGTTCCCTCTAAGCTGCGCAGCTGCACAACAATCAATCAAGTGCCACTCACTTCATTACTCCAGCTGCTCACATCCCCAGGAATGGTGAGGAGTATCAACATGTTGATGGCTTTAATGACCCTGGCAATTGATAAGCCTAATGCCAAAATAACCAACTGGTAGCATTGCAAAGCGGCCTAATGATCCAATAAGATCTATGGTCTAAAAATATCCCCCTCCTCCTCCCCCCTAAAAAAATGGTAGCTCACATCCATACATTGCCTTGATACTGGTGCACAAAAAAATTTATTCCACACATTGATCGAAAGAATTAGAGGGAACATCGAGCATAACCATCATCTTTTGAAATATCATTCTATTATTTGTATTTTCTATGTATTGTCATTTACTATCATCACACTTAAATCTACAAAATAATGAAAACTTACCTGTGAAGCATTTTGCACAAACTGAGTTAACTGGACGGCATCTGTTTGAACTACACTGCTCCATCCTACTCCTCCAGACACAGTGCGATCCATATCACCTGCAAGATTTTATGTGAACCTGAAGTATTCAATTCTATTGGCTTATCTTATTTTTGTCAAATTTTTGCTATACCCAACCAAAATTTTAGGACCACAAAATATTACCCAATATTATTTATAAAAGAGTGTTACTTGCACCCATACTATCAGTTCTTTATGCTTCATATCAGACTCTTAATGAACAAACTCATGTAAGCGCAGCGTAGGTTTTTCTAAACTTAGATCCTTCTACTGATCCTATAAAATTCACCTTAGTTTAGAAGAACTTAGCTTAGACTACACCATTAGCATAAATTTGACATAGAAATCTCAGTTCAAATTACAAGATGAGAATAACAATGACCTAGACAAAAGAAAAAAACTCAACCGTTTTCCAATATGAGCAAATACGTTTCACATTTCAGCCTATACCACCACAATATAAAAGCATGCCAAGAATACAAATAGTGAAAGAATCTGGAAAATGTATAACTATTTTTAAGATTTTTAATTACAAAATTATTAAAACACTATATACATAAATAAAAATATTGTGGCTGAATTATTTTTTAAATTTAATGTTATCTATATTTATGGAATTTTTACATAAACATTTAATTATGTTTTTTTTTAGTTAAATTTTAGCATACACTATTAAGAACTAACTCTTAAAAACACAGTTTACAAAAAGAGGAATTTTTTTAAAAAGTCCTTATTTAATAAATAAAATACTCAGAAATGTTATATTTTTCTCCATTGTATTTAATCTAAAAAAAAATCCCTGTTAAGTTATGTAAATGAAGTTTTAAAGTTCAACAATTTAAAAACACCTAGTACCCACTAGATTGCCAGATTACTAAGCATTTGCTTACCAAGGTAACAGAGAAAGTAATGTTCACTCATGAGATAATCAACAAGGGCAAAAACATTTGATGTGTAGATTAACTCTTTGTCAAATACAAGTTGATACTTATTACAAACAACAATATTCTTGTTACTAATTGCAGAGAGCGAAAAAAGAAAGGAATATTTCACTCATAGATTGTAAAAAACATCAACATGTGCTTGAAAACTAACTCAATAACTTTACATGACCTAAGTTCAGTCATGTTTAACCTCTTAAGTGGGTACGATGATTCTGTCTGTCATGATCTTTTATGCAATGCAGAAGGAATAACGAATATTTTTGTCACATCTGTTCCATTGCTAGTATATAAGGGGTAGGACAAGTATCCCCATCACATGAATTCAGCATTGAGTTCAATATGACAATCATAGATTGTAGGCCCATACAGTTATGCCTGCTTAATTTATATTATTTTTATAATTGTCTAAATTGAGGTAAAATAAAAGCAAATTATGCAAAAATAACAGCTAGAAAACCTAAAAAAAAGGTTTATTCATAATATTTTAGAAATATACAATACTCTACAAATGTCTGCAGAATAAGTTATGCACAAATGATATACATCTCTAAAATGAATAATGTACATACAAATTGCATGAATTAATATCAAGTTATATACATTCTAACATAATAAAATATACACAAACGTTGACACATGATAAAAGGCACCAAAATGAAAGGATAAACAATGGGTGAAAAACATATCTAATGTTGTGCATAGGAATAACTGTATCAATGAATGCAAGATGACGTAAGTATTTTACAACAAACATTTTAGACATTATAAACTGAGTTTGACACATAAAAGGTAGCATCACTACTGTGTCAAAGTTTAATGCAAAAAAGTAACCACTGTTGTACTTTGAAATACAAACATTGAAATATTTAGAGAAAAACAAATGTAAACAAAGGAAGAGAGCAGACATAGATAAAGAATTAACTTCTTTGAAGAGTAACACTAGTGATCTCAAAGTTACTTTTCATTTATCAGTTTTCACATAAAATATCTATTATTAATTATTGTGATACAATAATTTACTATGATAATTAAGACAGTCTGTTTCTATTATATATAAGCTTATTCAAAATCCTACTAACCTCCTACTCCTAAGTGATCATGAGGAGGTTTCTGAGTCCATTTGTCTCTATTGTCGATTTCATTAGTCTGTATTTCTTCATCTTCAAAGTTATCAGTTTGTACAGTCACCTAGAATGTTTAATAAACACAAACATGGTGACTATTGCCTTTTTTTGTTTTTATACATACCAGTACAAATTTACTGTATAAAACTTGTGATGTATGAAATATCTCTTGTACATTTTAATACTAGGCTTAGAAGTACCTAAGACTAATATTAACAGTAATACTAGATTATTTAAATGTTAGAAAGAACTGTATTGGACTTAAATTTGTTTATACATTTTTTAAAAGGATTACTAAAATTGGCTTCTGACAACACATTAACTAATTTCAAATTTTTTTGAAGAATAACAGTCTGGTACATTAATGAAGCTTCGTTATTTTCTTTCTCCATCTGTAACTAATAACACCAAATGTTAAACTTCAATAATTGTTTTTTGCTATGAATGATCAACTATGTTAAGTATAATTTACTAAATACTATTAAATTCTGAACACACTATACTATGAATTTATTCCAGTTTTTTATAATGTACTGTTACAAGATGCTAAAGTTTTATATTACTAAAACAATTTCTCAAATTTATCACCCCATTATATTTTGACTTTTAATTCACAGCTGTGTTTATAATGCCGATAGTATTCCATAAAATCCTGGGATATTTCTTTAAAATTCAAGTCAAACAATCATGGTATACTCAGTATTTCATAAGTTATATATGCTGTGATTTGCAAGCTATGTTCAGAAATAAAAATAAAAATTTTGTTGAGTGTTACAGTTCAAGCTCTATGTGTATGTGATTATGTTGGACTTTAGGTGAAATTTGTATAGAAAAACAAAATACAAGAAGCCTACATAACATTGCATACCAAAGGTTCATTATGAAAAAAAAAAATAGATTTGTAATAAGGATATATATAAAACAGTCTTGTGTTGTAACCAAATTTTGTATAAATGGACACAGCAACCTTAATAACAAAAACAAGTTGTTTTTTCCAGAAATAATGGTCAACTTGAAAGAAATATGGCAAATATGTTTTATGGCATTTACTATAAATTTATTATAATTTTTATATTTCAGTGAGCTGCGATTTATTTGTTAAGTCTTTAATGAAAGCACATATTTCACGATTCGTAATTTTTTCTTTGAATGACGACAAAATTTAATTTAGATAAAACTCCCTTAACTTTTTTATTCTTTAGTGGTTTTAGATTAACTATAAGTGCTTTACATCTATGATTATTGTAGAATTAAGCTGATGTTGGAATGAGTAGATTTTAAATCAAGAGATGAAGCCAATACATTAATGCTGCTTATATTTACAGAATAACATTACTTCTCTTATTAACACCATAACAATATCATTGTAGTAGTTAACATGTGTTCAAAATGGTAAACTGTTACAAAATACAGCAGTAAATTTTTAACTATGGGTATGTGCTATGGAAAACAGAATTTCATCTGTTATGATAATTTACTGTAAATAAAAAATATACAATTGTAATATTCATTACCTAGCCTATTATGGAATACATCAAAATACTGATATAACTGACTTGGAGCATTCACTAAATATCATTCCATAAAGCATTTGCAACCACCAATGCCTTTAGGTACTTCTATTTTGTGATGTAAGCTAGCCTATTATAGAATACACCAAAATACTGATGGAGTATTCACTAAATGTCATTCCATTAAGGATTTGCAACCAAAAATGCCTTTAGGTACTTCTATTTTGTAATGTAAGATAGATATGTCTATATAAAAAATTAAAATCTTACCTGTTTTGTGTTTGATCGGCCAAAGTTACGGATGTAAATTTCATATTTAACAGGAGGCAAATCAAACAGATCAAAAGTTAAACTATCCAGCGTTACAAACTCCAACACTTCTACTCCTCGTTTCCTGTTCAAGATAATAAAAACACTCCATAAGTTACTACCAGTTATCATAATCATAATAAATAATATTATTATTTATGGTGTGCAATGCTTCAACACATTTATTTAAGTAAGCATTCTTCTTTATAAGCTATTGTGCACTACATCAATTATACTATAGATAACATTGACAATAACTAAAGTAATTTTATTAGCCTGTATTTTTTCAAAATGGGTCACCTCAAAGTTTCAGATTTTAGATGTTGCGTTAACACCAATCTGACTTGATCTTAGAAACTCACTAGCAACTTATATTTATTCATTATTCTTATCAATATTAGTTTAAACCTAGTTTCATTCATCCAGTAAAAACAGTGCACAAGACAGAAATATAATGATGGGCTTTATTTAGAGATCACAACTGAGATGTACGAGTCTCTCACCCTAGAGTTACAAAGGCTATTCACTATGTAAACAAGTATTATTAAATTGCTTATTTATATAAAGTTAGTCAGAAAATAATCAGCTGATTTCTTTCTTGTGTTCATGGTATTCCTTTATGCATATTTAAGGGTTACAACCAAATGTTGTTTCCTTGTAAACAAATTATTATAGCACCCTGTCATACATCCAGTTATATACAACTTTTTGACATTTTCCATTGTTCACTGCCATTTTTTCTTACTACATATGAACTCTGACCTTTTTTATCTGAATTCATCTATATTTACCTTTTGCTTGTTCATTTTCTAACTATCAATCTTCTTACATCTCACTATAATTATGTATAGACTTTGACTGTTAAATTTTCTTGTTACCAGTGTTAATGTATTCTTTCATGGTTAAAATATACTGACTTTCTAGTTTTTATTATGAAATTTTAAATTCTGTTATAAATACAAGTAACTTACAAATGTTTGGATATTTACTAAATTTTAAATTTATCCTGTTATTAAGCATAAGGTCGTTTAATAAGCACAACCGGTTTATAAATTCACATTACATAACAAACCTCATACCATGATCAACTGATAAACTACAGTCTAAGCAGTGTCAGCTCTAATCAGCTCAGTTAGATCAATGATACTGTCACTCAATCGCACTTTATATAGCTTTAGGTGAGGAAAATGGATTGACCTAGTTTTTATATACCTTTATAGTCTTCTATTCCAAACACACTTGGAAGCTATTCAGCTTTCCAAATAAAATTTAGTACTGAGGTCTTCTTCATCTCTTGATGTTGAGAATTGTAAAATGAAATCATAAGATCAAATTGTATTTTGTTTTCATTAATGTCTACCTTGAAAATAAACCTTATGAAGAAGACTGTAAAATGTGCTCATCCAACTAGGACTTTAAAAACTGGACCAGGTGGTTGCTGTAAATATTGTCACAGAGCTGAGTGGTTGCTGTAAACACTGTCATTGGGTTGGGTGGTTACTGTAAATAATGTCACTGGATTGGGTGACTAGTGTAAATAATGTCACTGGACTGGGTGACTACTGTAAATAATGTCACTGGACTGGGTGACTACTGTAAACACTGTTACTGGACTGGGCAGTTACTGCAAACAATGTCACTGAACTGGGCAGTTACTCAAGACATTAGCACTGGACTTAATGGTTACCATAAACATTGTCTCAAGACTTGGTGGTTACTGTAAACAATGTCACAGGTTTGGGTGGTTACTGTAAACTAAACATTGACACTGGACTGGGTGATTACTGTAAATACTATAACTGGACTGAATGGCTACTTTAAACACTGGCACTGGACTGGGTGATTACTGTAAATATTATCAATGGATTGAGCGGCTACTTTAAACATTGGCACTGGACTAGGTGGCAACTTGAAACACTAGCACTGGACTGGGTGATTACTGTAAATACTATCAATGGATTAGGTGGCAACTTTAAACACTGGCACTGCACTGGATGATTACTAAATACTATCACTGGACTGGGTGACTACTTAAAACATTGGCACTGGACTGGGTGATTACTGTAAATACTAGCACTGGATTGAGTGGCTACTTTAAACACTGGCACTGGACTGGGTGATTACTGTAAATACTATCAATGGATTAGGTGGCAACTTTAAACACTGGCACTGGACTGGATGATTACTAAATACTATCACTGGATTGGGTGGCTACTTGAAACATTGGCACTGGACTGGGTGATTACTGTAAATACTAGCACTGGATTGGGTGGCTACTTGAAACATTGGCACTGGACTGGGTGATTACTGTAAATACTAGCACTGGATTGAGTGCTACTTTAAATACTCTCACTGGACTAGGTGATTACTATAAATACTATCACTGGATTGGGTGGCTACTTTAAACACTCACTGGACTGGGTGGTTACAGTAATAACTGAGAATAAAGTACAATTCTACAACAGTCTCACCACTAGTCTGATCAGGCAGAGAGTTTGGTTTGTTTTGAATTTTGTGCAAAGTTATATGCTTATTTAGCGGTGAAAGACTAGAGGGAAGGCAGCTAGTCATCACCACCCACCAACTCTTGGGCTACTCTTTTACCAATGAATACTGGAATTGACAGTAACATTATAATGCCCTCACAGCTGAAAGGGGAGCATGTTTTTGAGATAGTGATTTGAACCCATAACACGCAGATCATAAATCGAGCAACTAAACCACCTGGCCATTAGGTGGAAGAGATTTGAGATTTAATACATGAGGTACTCACATAGTTATAATAATTCTTACTAGTTTCAGTTTAAAACATGATCCAATCACATGACTGAAATCTGTAAATGTTTTTTTTTCTACTTAGAAAAGAATAATTACAGCTTAAAGGATAAAAGATGACTTTACATATCATTGAAGATGAGTCAAAAAATACAAAATATATGATTTGAATAAAGCAGGTTGAAACTAATACTATTTTGAAACTGTAAAATGATATAGGAGAGGATTCTTAAGGGCCTATATTTTCAATTCAATAGTTTATTTTGTCTTCAAGATAATGTAAAAATAATATTTTAAAACTTGATTCTCTTAATTTCTTTTAAACAGAGAAAGAGGCAAGGTGCAATGACTTTCCAAAGTCATCAGTAAATGGACAGTTACAGTCCTGAGCTTTAGAACCAGCTTGAATTGTTTTTGAATATAACCTTCTTTCATTATGTAATAAAGCAAAAATGTAAATGTGGACCACACCACCTAAATCTAACAAAGCTAAGTTACAATCCACCTTATTATCACTGAACAGAATCCAGTGACAAAACGTATTATAACATAAGCTGTATATTTCAACCTTTGCGTGATCAGTATTCATGTTTTAGAGATCAGGTTTTGAGTGAAACTTTTATGAAGCAATACTCATAATGCAAAGAAATGAAATCAAATACACAAGGCTTACTCATAAATCATTAGAGAATTTTACATCATATGGATTTTTTTTCAAATTTATAAACAAATTTTTCCCTCCAAAACTGTGTTCAGAAACATAAGTTTCAAGACAATATTTATTTTTGAAATAGCTACTTTTGAGACAGCTAATGCAAAATTACTTAATAAAAATAAATTATGTACTATTGGTGTAAGAAATTTTTAAAATAAACAAACATATTCCAAAAATAAAAAAACATTACTTACATAATTTTATTTAATACTTTGTCTTTTTCTTGATGTTTCTTGGCAGAAGAAAAATTGATAAAGGTCCTAGCTGTCTGTGGTCGTCCAGATGATACCTCTAAAGATGGTTCTTGCTTGTGATTTCCTAAACTGACACTTTCTCCATTGTTTTCAGGAGATGGAGGTGGTTCTCTGCGTCCAACTACATGGATATTTTCATCCTTAAAGCAAAAATTATTTATATTTTATTCTTACACACAGATGTTCCTTAAAAATCATTTTGATTTATAGACATTACTGGCATGACGTAGCTTGAATGAGTTCTCCAAGAATCTCATGCTTCATTATACAATCATGTTCATAAGCAAGTGACTGTTAACTAGAATAAAACACACATTAACTCATCTTAATTATCATTAAACACTGCAGTTGTTAATTACATTTTATTTCCATAGATCAAAATCTTGTGAAACTTGTCATTTTGTGAAATAATCATACAGTTATTCAGAATTATCATATTTGAAATTTTCAGTGAAGGTATAACAAGAGAAGATGAAATATTCTATAATCAGACAACGCAGTAAATATATATCAGCAAAATATCTTAGGGATTTTTTTAAGTTTTTATAATATCTAAGAGCACAATGAGTTTTAGCTCCTTTTTTCTTCATACCAAAACCAGCTACAAACCTTAAAATATTGTAGAGATTTAACTCCACATAAAAATAACGTGCATCAGTGAATTTTTTATCTTAAATATTACTGATATTTTACTGTGGTTTTAATGCAGTTGATCAAAATATCCTGTAAAAGGAAATGAATTGTTTTGATTACTAGCTGCATAAGACAGAAAATTTTATGTACTCCTATTTTATGCAAAAGAAAACATTCTTTTTTTATTTATTAAATACCTCTAAATATCTGTTTTGTACTGATTCTTCAGCTGTGGCAGAGTGGGAGTGATGTAAAGGAGGTCTTGTATATGTAATTTCTGGTTCTTCCTTATATATTCCACTGTCTGGAGCTTCCTCATTCTCTGCTCCTCCTTCATTACTTTGCTCTTCATCATCAGGTTCACTTCCAGAATCTTCTTCAAAGTCTGAGTCGTAGTCCTGGATTAACATTTTGATTCTAAATTAATATGCCAGAAAAAACTGGGATTTCATTAGCTCAAAAGGAATCTGTGATTATTTAATATTTATGGTCATGTTAAACATATGTACTTAGATCACTCAATTTCAACACAAAAACAAACTGGACCAAAGAAGTAATAACTCTTGTAAAAATAATTTGATTTATACTGATTCCATGTGAACATAACTTTCCTTTTTCTTTCAGCAAACATGGAACTGGTTTCATCCACATTGACTTTTAAAGGTTAAAATATTGTAAAATGTCCTTTAAAAACCTTCAACTAACTATGAGATAATGTGCAGAAAGATCAACATATTTCATAACTTCAGTTGAGTAACATCATATAGTCTTGTTTGTGAAGGGAACACAACATAAAGGGATTGAATTTTAATGTGTAATATACCACTTTTGCTCAGAAAAAAGCAAAATATATGTAAGTTTGTTTCTCAAGGGCAGATGTAGTACATCATTTTTTAAGTCACATTATAAACATACAGTTACACTTATAACACACATAAGGTTCATGAAACCTTATGGATACAAAATTCAAGAACTTTCACAAACCTTAATAACAATTTTCAAATATACAAAGTGTTGGCATTTGCACACTAATATGAGGCCCATAACTAGTTATTAGCAGAAATAAAACTTGATTTTTTTACTTCTTTCTTTGTCTTTTAGCACACATATTACCAATATTAACAAGTTCAAATATAAAATATGAGCCTCTTATCTTTTCAATTCGCTAATGTAATAAATCAAACACAGTGGCACCCCACTCACCTCTTTCCATTTTTGAAAATGCCTCCTTATATACACTTACTTCTATATATGACATGAATAACCAATCGGAAGATAAGAATGTCCCCCTAGTGGCTTTCTCAACCATTTTAATAGACTTAGTGCCATTTTTTTCTTTTCATAGTTTTTTAGATGAAAATACATCTTAGTTTCTAAGCTTGATAAATTATAGTGGAATTCTATGGTATTAATGAAATCATTTATAATTTTTTTAGTTATTCAAATGTATATATAAAAACCTAAAAAAACATTTTTGTTTCATATCTCCCGCGTGCAATTTTTTAAAGGTTTAGCATCCTACATCAAGCAGTACAAAGATCTTAACTAGAAGAGATAATTGTTTGCTTTACTTCTTTAGTTACTGTTCTATGTTTTAAGAAAAATAAGTTTTAAAACTTATTTCAAAATATTAATAACCTATATACATATATAATGTATAATAATTGAAATGTGACTGTATTTTACAAAATACTAGTCTACTAAAACACAGCCAAGACAAGTTACCTTGTACAGACCAAAGGTCAATTTTATGTTATTTGATACGGTAACATGAGTGCACATGATCCGCATCATTGTAACTTCTGTATTGTTAGCCAGGTTTGGCTGAACAGTTAATATAATAAAAATAAT